GTGGATTACATACATTACCTTTGTTTGTATGACAAGCATTCATTACCTTTTTTATTATAATATTGTTGATTACATACATTACATTTGTTATTATAACTAGTATACGATTCTATATACATGCATAAATGCATGTTTAAATCATTATAAGTTATATTTATGTATATAACATTAAAATTATAAGTTAGAATATAGTATAAAAAAAATGAAATGGATAATGTACATTTTTTAAATTTGTATTCAACTTATTCACTATATCGATTGCATAAAGTGAAATAGATACGGTAGGTTTTAAAAATTTGAGGAATCCTGACCTGTTAATTATCTTAAAAGTATTATTATTATTATTATTATTATTATTATTATTATTATTATTATTATTATTATTATTATTATTATTATTGATTAAATTTCAGCTATAGGTTTTATAAAAAATATTGATTTGTAACAGAAAAGGCGAGAAACCTAAATAGTTTTATTAAATATTTTGCTGGCAATTTTATATTTATAAATGTTGTCAAAATCAACAATTAAGATTTTACCAAAGTATATCAACGCTTATATCATTCAGAGCACAAAATTTAGTCTACATGTCATATTTAACAAAAAATACACTCATATTTTTACTCCTATTTTATGTATATTATTTTAAAAAGTAATATTCCGTTATTAAAGTTAGTAAAATATAAAATGTATGATTGTCTAAAGCGGTTTTGCTATGGAGCCATCGGATGGCTCGACTTATGGAGTCATCCATTGTTATTCACAAATGATGTATTGACATGTGTCCTGCAATAAATGCACATTGGACATGTGTCAGTACATAAAGTCATGGATGGCTCCATAAGGGAGCCATCCGATTGCTCCATAGATTTTCTGTTGTCTAAAGTTAAATCCATCCTACAACACCATTATTGTTTAGAACATTTCAAACAATAGTACACATACACAATTCTTGTATGAAGTGGTCTAACTATTAGACGGCTCGATCTATCATACTTTTTTTTAATAATATATATACATATACGACGAAATATTCTATTTTTATTTTATTTTTTAAAAAAATATGACTAACATCATTACTATTGCCAGGGATTTTCAACTTACGAGCGTTGACAATTAATGTTGTCTCTTCTATACAATTATACAAGCTATAAAAACATTTACTTTAATTGAATTGTTTGTATGAGCTCTTGAATAGCAATGCTAGAATCTTGCCAATAATTACAATATTTTTCTACACATATAAAAATATTAAAAAACAATGTAGTATGTTTCTTCTATGATTCACGCCGTTAAAGATGCTGTAATTCGTTAGTTTGAGCATGAGAATAATGTCGTTAGTTCGTTCCGTGGATGATTAACTCGTACGCTTTCTTTTCAGGAAATTAGTCCGACTGATTAATTAATACAATGAGGAAAATTTGTGAACTGATTAACAAATACTACATCCTTTTTTAAATAAATGTCGTTTTGACTTTTTTGATTCATTCATTTTGCTATGTATCTAGACATTAATATGTCTAGATACATAGCAAAATGAATGAATCAAAAAAGTCAAAACAACATTTATTTAAAAAAGGAGGGAGTACGAAATTTGAAGCAACTTTATTCATTTCAACTGCAGAGGAAAAAATGTCTACAAATTTGATAAGTGGTAACCCGACAATAGACAAGGGCATATACCTGTAGCGTTTAGAGTTTTGTACTCGTTTTACAATACAAATGATCTCGTATTGATTTTTCATGCATGTTATTACATTGTTAATACGAAGTCAAATTGATATACGTATATTTAATCATTCAAAAAAGTAATTAAATCAAAAAAAAAGTAATTAAATCAAATTGTATAATCATCTAAAGGTCATCAAATTTTGCAATTACTATATTCTTCTTCTATTATTTTTTACAATTGGCTTTCTTCCAGAATGGACATATTTTGTATTTTTTTCAGTCACAGATAAGATAAATAAAGAATGTAAGATAGATTTTTTTTTAGAAAAAAAAAAGAATAAAAAGAACAGAAGGGCAGGCACATCTGGCCAAATCGCAGTGATTGTTTAGCCGCCTAAAGAAACACAAATGAAACTATGAAATAAAGTATTGAAGACAAAATCATAAAAATAGTGAACCACATATATAAGATAAACTTTCTCAAATTGGTAAACTCATATTTGGAGTCATCATTTGCAAGTACACCTACTATTTGCTAATAAGTAATGTCCTGCTGTCATTGCAGGATTAGATAGAGCTTAGATATATATATGAAGTTGTTACACCAACTTAATATAATGAAAACTTAACAATCAAATTATCAAATGATTGTACCCAAAAAAAAAAAATAAATATCAAATGATTGATCATTTCGCTATAGTTTGATAAATCATTTTCATAGATTCCCAGTTTTGCTATGAAACCAATAAGTGGCTCAATAGTGGAACCAACATTCTATATATAAAATTATTAGTATTTATTTAAATAATCAGAGAATATAGCAAAACTGTTATAAAAATAATTCACATAATCCCAAATTTAAAAAATAAAAAAAGCGGATATTTATTAAAAATAATTATGGTTAAGGGTGAATGGAATTGGTCAGAATTTACCACATTTATAGGAACAAAATGTCTCCGATTGTCACTCCCAAAAAGTAAAAACTGATAACCGCCTTGCGTCTCGGGAGTTGACCTCTTGAAAAACATTGAAACCGCCTTGCATCTCGGGAATTATAATTTTGACCAAGGACTAAGAATAGGATTGCTAGGAACCATCAGAAACTTGTATCAAATGCAGGCACCATGCACGGTTCAGTGATATATATATATCCTTTTCATGATCAAAAATCAAAATGTAAGAAGATGACAACAAATTAAGTGTAGAAATATAAACTTTATAATGTACCTTATTATGAATATTTGTTCAAATAAAAAAATATATATATATTATTGTTAAAGAAAAAAAATTGTTAAGGGTATGTTTAGTAAACTAAGTTTAACGACAACTAAGCTGATAGCTTATAATTGAATTTCGAACTGATAAGTGAAAAGTTAGTTAATATAAGATAAAAGTATTTGGTAAAATTAACTACTAAATCAGCTTAAACAAATTTTCAATGAATTACCTACAGAAGCTTACGAGATAAACTTCAACTATTTTTCATCCTACCAAAACCAATTTGAATATAAGAAGTTTATAAGCTAGTTTACGGTGTTTACGTAACACTATAAGAAGTTGACAAAAAATCAGAAAATACTATAATTTAAATATTAAAAATTAAACTCTTACTAGATATTAGAAAACTTCAAAATAAGTTTGAAACATAAATATAGAATTTCATTTTTAATGAAATTTCATGATTAGAGGATAGCAAAAGAATTTTGGTAAGTGGATAGGAGCGGATGGGCGGGGCCAACCATACGTTATCATGCTTTGGTCCCATCAAGAACTAACTGTTAGGTTTAACATTAGGTCCAATCAAATCTACTCCACTTAATTAATAATGACAAAATATATTCTTTATTTGTTTATGTATATTTGTCACGAATTATTTTATATTACACTAACGATTATATAATTTACATACATGCATGAAAAAATTAATGGGGGCATAAGAATATATATGCTGTAAATTACCTGTTATCCATGATAGGTTATGGCCCATATACCCTACCCACAAAACGACTCCACCTAAACTAAGTGCCACATTTTTTGGTTTGCTTTATCTCAAAGCAACACCACATGAACATGCTTAGGATAGAGATTATATAGTCGGATGAAAGAGCTATGATTGTCTTTTTTTCTTTCAGTCACTTTCTATACCTATCTCAGTATGCGTATGTATATAGCTGTATACTTAAATTGTGTGTGTGTTTTTTTTATATGTTATTGGTACAACTTCCAAGTTCCTAATACCAATTGAAATTTCATGTTCCACTCTAGTCTGGTATTCTGTTTCATGTTTCATTCCATTGAACGAATGACACGTGTACATGTCGACGTCATATTTGTACACATGTCACTCATCCAATTCCAGCGTGAAACACGAAACTGAACACCGAAGTGGAACAGAATATCCTATACAAGTTCGTAGTCTCAAGTTCTGTATCCGAGAAAAATAAATAAATATATAAACAAATAATAACAATGAGAATAAGTTTAAAACTTAAACCTCTCACTTCTGTGGTGCTTTAGGGGTAATTTTGTCGATTGACTGATGATATCGTTAATTTATTTAATTCCAAATTTTTTTTATGCGAAAAGCAGTTTAGTCGATCCAATAACAGTGTCAGCAAAAGGTTATGCAAAGTGATGTTCTGTAGACTCTAACCTTGGGTTTTTAAGCCAATTCAACATCAAGCTGAATATTGTACACGTGATCGTCCCTGCAGCCCACGAAAATCCTTCCGCCAATCATCACCGGTGAGGAGAAGATGTCACCATTAAGGTCCAAACGGGCAAATTCATGCACCACCTCATCTGTATTATTCCCACCTCCAGCAGCATTAGGGAAAACTCTTAACACGTGAATACTGCCCGAGCTGTCGCAAACACATACCATTAACCTGAAAAGAGGACATGGAATGATAATATGATATGATGTGCCGAATAAACTTTCCCTCGGTGTGATTAGCTGATAAAATACTCTTCAAAAACTGTAGACACCTGTCAGGGGAACTGGGATTATTATCGGACTTGAGAAGGGAGAATTCATCTACATAAGCAGATGATGTAACTGGATGCCCGACTGTATGCTTCCAGATTAGATTACCTGTTTCCTGGATTTAACGAATTCATCCACATTTCATGACAATTTATACTTATCATTTATCAATCCTTATTCAGATCGTGGTAAAAAGCACTTCTAAAGTATATTCATAGTCAGAACTGGTTGCCAGAGAAGCTTGTAAAATGTAATTTATGACCAATTTGGGGTCCTAAATCTAAAGTGCCAGATACATTGGAATTTCGTGTAATGTTAGGGAAATGGATTTTCACAGATGCAATTGACTTAATTGATACAAACAAGTTATGGATTCTACTTGATATAACGCAACAAGACTAAGTTTGAGCATCTACTCGCGCTATAAATTCAAGTATGAAATCAATCTCACCATTTCAAAAGAATAGATGATCCCATCTCTGGAGCAGATGAGTACCTGCATGAGATGTAAGTTATCCGAATCAAAGTTATATCATCCAGTGGCAAATAGCACCAACATATATAAAAGTATAAAATGAAATTCCCCATTTAATGTGTGTAGTCCTCCTCAAGAAGACGGCATTTGCCTCGTTTACCTATGGGTTAATATAGAGAGAATCTTCTGGTGACTGGTAATATGTTATATTCCATGTGTGACTTGGTTAAAAATCAACAACTGATAAAGTACGGTTGAGTAAAATCAGAACAGAGAGTATGAATTTTCAATTTTGAGAAGGATTTATCAATATGGACTATGCTTACCAATATATGAAATAGAATGAGGAAAGTAGAATATAGAAGGAAAATTATCTTTTCCTTGTTTTTTTGATTGATAGTGGAAAATCATGGACAACAAAAAGAGGGTTAAACTGTTTATCCGTGCTACAAAATCAACATCGACTATCTCAAGTCCCCCTCTCACTGCAAATAAAGTCGAGAGGAACTTAACTTTGCCCTTTGTAACTACTAGATACATTAAAGAGAAAAATTGTTCCTTCTAACACTAAGATTAGAATTCACTTTATATACCACAATTATCGGTCAATTTTTAATCAGTTTGTGCAGAAAAAAACTAACCTGAGAAGGCAAAGCTCGGGATGTGCAAGGTCCAGCAAAAATTGGTCCACCAGTTCTCACCTGTTACAGAAGACAAGTAATTGACTATTGAATATCTGAGGATAGAAGACTGAAATCTTACAGGATTTTGATCCTCATTGACAAAGTTTGTGTTCAAATGCTTTGCAATCTCAATAGCAAAGAGAAAAATACAGTGAAAATAGTCCTCTAATCATTTAAGAAACAGAAAAAAAGGATATATCAAGAACATTTATTTTCTCGAGTTTACTACAATGCTGATCTGAGCTCTGAATTAGGCCAGGTTGATAGGAAAAATGCAGACACAGTGTACAAATCATTACGAAATACAAGGCATGTGTAGGCAGATAAGTAAGTTAGCACCTTCCAAATGATGGAGCCACGGCAACTGAGGACATTAACAGTCCCATCCACCAAGCAACAAATGACTGCAGACCATGAATTAGAAATAGTCATGAACTAGACATCTCAAACAACAGCAGATGCAAAGGCACCACTGTATAACCACGGGTTTACTATAATTAATCTATGCCTAAACATTGAGTTTGAAAATGTTTTTGCAAGAGTACTGTTAAGTGAAATGATACATACTGTTTCCGTCAGAATAATTTATTGAAAGTGACGCAAAAGCAGGTGCTCCCATGTCTTGCTTCCACAATGTCTTAAAAGGAAGAGTCTACAGTAACATGTAAATCATGCATCAGGGAAAATTATAACCATAAAGAGAGTTGAAAATTGCTTGAGGTCAAGCCCTTGTGAGTTTGTGAGAAAGATACCACACAAACATAATCCAAGCCGATGATCCAATAAAAACAAATATGGCAGCATACACGCAATTTTAAGAGGCAGAAACATTTACGTGTCATGTTACTATGAAACCAAATATTTTCATGAAGCATAGATAGAACCCCTCTTTGTTTATCTCCTTCAGTTTTCATTCTTTTATTCAACTGTTTTTATTATCCAACAGGAGGCACAGCACAAGTAAGAAACTCTATTCATTTATTTTCTGCTGTTTAATATTTCTGCAGTGGCAGGCAACACTTCACCAAATTGTAATGAAAAAGCCAACAATAACATGTTATGAAAGATATGGACCAGCAAGAGTAGAGGATAAAGTATGTGAGAACCACATGTGTGGAAAATACAATATTTCAAGACCAGCATATTCATAATACTGTTAATTAGCTTTCCTGTAAAAACAAAAGCCAGATGTGTGAGGTAGCCATAGAGATTGAAATTCTTTTAAGAAGCACAAGAAACCAGAGGATATGGCTTTTCTCTCCAACTCACAGAACTATCTTTTTACCAAACTTGAGTTTGCAAATTGAACTGATCAATTTACTCCATTTTGATGTAATGCATGATTTATAATTCTACCTTAGTTAACACAAGCTAATCTAAAGCAAGAAACTTAGTTAAAAGGTCTTATGATAGTTTCAAAAAACTAAATGATCAGAGTAGATGACCATATCCAAAAAAAAGGATAAAGGAAAATGAAAGAAGGAAAAAGGGATCTCCAGAACCTTAATTTCCAATGCTGTAACATGACCATTGGTGGATGCCACATACAGCGATTCTTGCATCTGCAAACCAACACATAGTTACAGGTTTAGGTTAGACAAACGGAACAAAAAAGACCGTTGTGCCGAGAAGCTGAAAAGGAGTCTGACATTTCATTGGCATATTTAAATAAAAATGCATATGAAAATAATACAGAACATACAGCAAAATGATACAGAAGAGATGTGTGGCACAATTACTTTGCAAAACTCACCTCATTGATAGCAGGTGAACCAAATATACTGCCACCACACAACAGTTTATAAATACAGCAGTAACTCTTATAATCAATGGCATATAAATTGTGATCATATGACCCACACCTGAAAAAAAAAGTAAAGAAATAAACAGAACAGTTATGAGATTAAAAATTGGTAGGAAAGAGCTTCATGATAATAGGGCAGCATCTAGCAGTCTACAAGATGCGCGAATATCTGATTCAATTGAATACTGTTGCAGTTCAACATACAAATTATACTGAAAGTTGATTCGATGTCAGTCTTTAATCATAAGGAACAAATTATCTATGTTGCTGTCAAAAGAACTTCCAGAACACTATTTACTGTGTCAGGTTGTCAAAAAGTATTTTCTTTTCTTTTTACTTTATCGCAATGGCCTGTGTATACCATTTTTTGAAAGATGCATTGGCACTCATCACTAGAAAAGCAGGCATAAACAGAATTAATAATAATGAAACACAAAGAACTTGAAATTCAGTTTCTGGCACATGGAACAAAGGGTATAATTTTCCATGGGAACAAACCTTGTTAATGTGCAAAATAAAAGGCATGAATCATTATAATGAGAAACATTACCAAACCAAGTGTCTGCATTTGTCAACCACTGGCTGTGATTTTACCTTCAAATCTCCAAAAAACAGGCAAAAAAAAAATAACATATTAGGTGTCAAAAACATGATTTGACAAGTTTGTGTGATACTATTATTGGCAGTTCAAAATCTCCACATACACAAGCAAATTAATGAAATAAAATTAAAAATTGCAATTTCTTTTAGTCTATCTTCACCTGACGTTAACATTCAGAAAATAAAACAGAGAGTGACAAAAAGAACAGGAGAGTGCATGAGCACAAATATACAGTATGTGGAATAACTGTAGGTTTCCATACTTACAACCACCTAGGTTATGAAAATTGCGACATGACAAAAAGGAATTGGAACAACTGCCCTTATTAATGGATGCTAGGTTTCACGTTTTGCAGCATAGGCATGACAGCTAGTATAAAGAGAATATAATTAATTCTGCTAATATACAGGAGCAGAGCTTTTCATTAGCATACCTCACCATCAGTTCGAAACCTCCAGCAGATATTGCCATTTGAAAACTGAAGGAAATAAATATATCCCTCGTAACATCCAACTACAACCTATAGAACTCTCATGTGAACTAGGGAATTTTTTTTAAGAAATAAGGTATCATTTAGTCCAAAAAAGTTACAGTGAGTTCAAACCTGAGAAAGATCATCAAGAATTGTGGCTGAGCATTCTACCCGTCCTTCTAGTTTACTCTCCCACTGAACAACTCCACTACAAATACGGAAAGCCATAGTGATTTCAAGTCTAGTGAATTTTCATGCAAAAAAACCTCTCTCATGAACATAAATTTAATTCGAAAATGAAATCAATGTATTCAAATTATTCAGATGTTAGCATTTTATTTTGAGAGCGGTCTATATCATACACAACAGTGAATTTCAATACTTCCTTAGCCTGACTGATGTCTTGAAACAAATATAATCAATGTCCTAAGACCTGTTATTTGTTAAGGCTTTCAAAGGAAATTAGAAACAAATACAAAAGATATAAATATTTGGGTCACCATCTGTCATTAGGGCCTCATGTATCTAACATAGATTTAGCCATGGTAAACGTATGCAACAAAGCAATAAGAGAAAGTCAACCCTAAAAGGCTAAAACTAAAGAAAACAAAACCAGAAGCTACTGCTTCATTAATAAATTTGTGACACAAATAATGATAAGTTCAATGTAACCTCCAATGCATTACAGAAGTATTAGTATCAAGTGAGAGATATGGATGCTAACGCTAACATACATTATAATTCCTCTAGTAATACTATGATGATCAGAATTTCCATCGCAACTAGTATATACCTTCTGCCATTTATGCAGAAAAACTTATGAGAGTGAGATCCAATGAATAGATAGATATCACTGCCTTTACAAACCACAAGAGGTGACGCATCAACACAAGATCCCAAGTCGACCTTCCACAGTTCTTGCATAAATCCTTTTCCATCTCTTGGTATAATGTTTGACCAGACTACGCCTGAATAACTTTTCTCACATTTTCCTATGTGTGTGCTTTTGTTGCAGCGACTAAAAGAACATTCTGTATGCACCGCATTAGGATTCCATAAAATACCACCACAAGTTGGCTCTGAATGGCCTGTACAATTATTTGGCTCAAACTTCAATTTTTTAGCCATGTGAAAGTCCCTATTACTGTTGGCCTCAAATAATACTCCTTGTGGCTTGCTTCCATGGAGATCACCCATACTTGATTCACTTGATGGAGCCGTTTCTGATTTTGTCCGATTCACTCCTAAAAAGGAGTCAGTTCCCAGTGAAGATCCAGATGACGACAGGGCCATTTGGAGCTTTGATGGAGTCGGAAAAGTGTACAGCAACTTCATATGGATACCCAACTTGAAGGAGGCATAGGCAGCAGACAGAGAATTGCCACCCATTTCAAAGAAATCGTCATCAACAGAAACTTTCTTAACCATCAGTGCATCAGAGAATACCTGAACAGTTAAAGGAAGAAAAGTTTTTTAGAAAAGCTGCATTTGAAGTGCAACAGAAGAGTAGCAAACTCAACATTCAAGTTTTTTATATTAATACGAGGAACAAATCAATGCAGAATCATATGACATAGTTATTAACAATGCTGTTTGATTTCAGTTTATGGTGTTTTTCTTCTCACTCAAGCATCAAAGCTCCCACAAACTATGCTGGTTTGCAATTTGCAATTAGTATGTCAAGGTCATCTGAAGTTCGTTCATTTGTTTTCTAGAACAATATCATTTTATTATGCATCCGATGAAAGGAGATAGCGAACTACTAGTCTACTATATAGTATTCCCCAATCATAATTTGAAGATAACCCTGGACAAGAATAAGACATCACCGATTCTTTTTCTACACTCTCATATCCGATAAAGCCAAACGCATACTAATGCTATCAAGGCCAGTTTTATCACCACTTTGTAAACAAATGATGTCAATTTAAGGTTAATTTGACAAAAAGAAAATGTATGGAACAGGGACTAGATCATTCAGAATGTGTAATCGCCTACTTAGTCTGCATTGGACACCTTTTTGATAACTTCAATGAGGTGATCCTGATGAATGTCCTCAACATTAAATGCCCCCTCTTCATCCGAAGCGGTTAACGACAAATAATCAACTTTCCCTGAAGGTGTAAGAGGTAGTGACCTAGTGAAAAAAATGCGACTTGGTATCATCACATGCGGAAGCTTTCTTAGGACCCAATTCCTGAGTGAGGATTTCAGAAGCTCTTCTTCTCTGAAAGTTTCCTCCCTCACCACATGAGCTTCAATAAATAAGATTTCATCACCAACCTCACGGGATAAAACTGCAGCATCAACCACATTCGGATGCTCACGAAATGCACCCTCAATCTCCTCAAGAGCAACGCGCTGCCCATTAACTTTCACCGTACGGTCCTTTCTTCCAAGAAAAACCAAGTCGCCACTCGGGAGCCTTCTTGCAAAATCACCCGTTCTAAAGTAATGTTGAAATCTGCACCCGCTATTGGGACTATCGGTGTCATGTTCTGGGGACACATCCCCATCTGTTAACGGTATCAGATGAGGATAGTCAAAGTAACCTGCAGCAACACACAGGCCACCAACATAAATCTCCCCTTGATATGCTACTTCTTCTCCAACCAGCACCACATCACAGTTTGACACAGGCGAGCCAATCGGGACACTGCTTAATACCTCCTTTTCAAGAATTTGTGGCAATCTCGTGCAATCAAAGTATGTGCAGTCGCCCGTCACCTAACATTAACATGTTTCACATGAGTATTCAGCATTATGAAAAATAACATAGCACGTAAAAAGACTAAAAAAAAGGGTCAAAATTCTATTCAATATATTGGACTCGTGAAGTTTGAGTAATCCATTTTTCCCTAATAAAGAACTCTATTCTCAGATTTCTTAATAAAGGAAAAGCTTGAATGACTACTAACTACTGAATACAAAGTATTATGGTCTAACCTCTGTGCTGCCATACAAATTCAATATTGAAGTCCGAGGAAGTAACTCTAAAAGCATCTTGCATAAGGGAAGGTGCAAGACTTCCCCACTTAGGATTAATAATTTCAAAGAACCTTGAATTGTTAAGGAATGTGGACTCTGCAAAGCTGGAAGAACTGCCCTCATCAAAGATGGAACAGCTACAAGCCTGTTAATAAAGTATCCCTGGGAAGAAAAAAAATCAGAGAAGACTAAGTGACGGACGAAGTCCCCACTGACTGAAAGATATGCACAATATAACTGTTCAGGTAATAATTAATAATGCAATGATTCATAACTTTTTAAGTACTACATTTCTCATCAAAACCCAGCACGTCAAAGCCTCGGAATGTAGTTTTACATTTGGGATGGAGGAAGCACAACTTAGAGCAGAGAGTTAAAAATTTTATCTGGAATCAATGATGTGATTGTAATTAAATAGATGTTAAAATGTGTAATGTTTAATTAATGAATGCTTCAAAAGATACTTAGGTTTTAGCCCACAGAAGTAAAACCCAAAAACAATATGAACCTACTGTTGCGTAAGCACTTGGCAAAATATTATAAATATAGCTTCAAGATGAGCTCAAGTGGTGCCACTGGCACGATTAAGTTCCATCAATAAGCATTGTGAGTAAATCCTAAAATGGATGGTGACCACAATTAGCTATGCAAACAAGGAAAAAAAAAGGTGTATTAACACTAAAAA